GTAAATTATGGCTTTTCATATTATTTTAAAAAACTTTTCCTTTTTGATTCTCTTACTGATATATTGTTTAGTAAATTATGACTTTATTACAATGTTGGTTTTTCTCATAATGATCGGGTGTGAGTTTGTTTTTTTGAATTTAGATTTTTTTACCAAAAAAAACATGGTGCTAAGAAAAAAACGTTTCGCTTCATAATTTAGATGATCTTTTTCCTAAAAAAACAAAAACTTAAATGATCATTAAGGAAAAAAACCCATGAAAATTCTAACTGGGCTTTCATAAAAATGAGCAAAGTCCTGATTTTTATTCGTACACCATTTTCAAGATGCAAACTTTTGACCCGTATCCTTTCCGGGCCATCAAAAAAACGCCACCGTTGGTCCTCTCTCTCCATCTATGTTGCGGCCAGTATGTATTCAGCTCAGGTAACAGTAACATTTACTACCAAAACATCAAGCAGTAGCAGCATCTTGGGATGAGTCAAAGTGACCGAGTTATAAGAGCACGTGACAACTCACGTGATGTGGTTGGTGAGGAGCAAAATGTCACTCCTTGTGCAGAGTTTGACACGGCCTCCTTTCACAATTATACTCATGTTGGTATCCATGAATAGGTTGGTATCCATGAATAGATGATTAAGGTAAGAAAGAAAAAGGCTTCAATCTTTATTAATCTGTTCTAAGTTTTTGTATCTGGGTTTTTGTTTGTCTAGTAAATTGTTATGTTTTTTCTACAAGGAGTTTATGGTTGGTATCCATGAATAGGTTCTCTTGTGGCTGTTTTATTTGATGTGTAAGTGAAGGATTTTGGAGTTTAAGGTTTTTTGACAATGTTTATTTGTCTTGTTATTGTTGAAATTCTGTTTCTTGAATGTGAAATGGGTTTTATGCTTTGTTTTGTTGAAAGATTTTGGTAGGTTTTGTGGGGTTTCACTTAGTAGTTTTGTGTGTTTGATCATTTTTGGAATGGTTGAGTTGGCGTGGCTTGTTGACTTTGTTAATTGAGAAGTATTTTGTGTTTGGAATTTAGGAATTTAGGAATTTGTGGGCTTTTCTTTTGGCAGTCAAGAGTTTTTTATGGAATGATAGAAATATGTTCAAGTTTTTATTCTATGTATGCAGGATCATGTGCGGGCAAACGCTTATAGAGATGCAATCTTTCACCATCAGAGTGTGATAGAAGGCAATTAATGCCATCATGGTCAGTATTCAGTTGTTAATCTATGATATTGTGCTCTTCTTGATGTAAAACTACGTTGCATTAAGCTTTCTGTCTGCTTGCTGCCTTGGCATAGAGCATTTATCAAGTACCTCTTTGATTTAATCCCAACAGTTACGAAAGATGTATGATTCCATATGCTTAAGACCATGAAATATATAATGTCATATAGTGAAAGAAAAAAGCTTCAAAATCTTATACGTTGAACATCAACATTCTGCCTAGTGGCAAGAAATTTTAGGAATATTTGTGCAGTATGTGTCCTGATTGCTCAATTCAAACACTTGTTCAGGTTGTCATGGATGTTGGTTGGGGCACAGGAATTCTTTCAATATTAATTCCAATATTTTGTGCTCAGGCTGGGGCAAAACGGGTTAGATATATTTGAGCAATTCTTTTACATGGCAATGCATTTTCTAGTGACTTTGGAAGTGTATTAATGAATTGCATAAATAATCATCACCTTTGTCCAAAAATGATTCATGTTGCTTGCCATCCATGTTGCATGGTATTCTCTCATAAGCTTTGTCTATGATAGATGAATCCAACAAATGAACTCTCATATTCCATGGTCATTTTACGTGGTGCATTGGAAATGCCAATGGTTAAATGTTGATGCAATGTTCTTCTCTTTTATTAATTTTTATAGCTAATTCTACAAGCATTTTTCTTACACGAAGCCACAATGGACAATTAGATCCCCTAAAAATTAGGCCTACAAATTGTTGATTAGGCCAATTTTTTTTTATTTTGTTGCTGTTCTATTTAGTATCCCCCATCTAAAGTCTCTTATTTATGGACATCTCCTTCTCCTGTTACTTGTAGAATTCTTCTTCTTTCTTCCTGTCCAATTATCACTGGAAAACACCCTCTGGTTGCCGACTTATAGCAGCTGCATATCCACCCTTACAAGGACTCATGCACCGACTCTGCTGTCCGGAATTTCTGCTGCTGCCGATTCTTTTCTGCTGATTTTTGCTCCACCTGGGTCCTCATCAGAGCCATGGTGTAAAACAAGAAATTTACATGATTTTTGGATCATTTATTTCTCTACATATAATGTTTGATATAACAGAAAAGAGAGATGAAGACTTCTAGAGAGACGAGTCTATTAATGATGGTGACATCCATGAAAGGGTCCAAAAAAGAAATAAAGACCTGAAATTACAGTTTAGTTTTCAAGACTTATTGAAGTTTCTAAAACTTTTTTGAATGAATTAAAATCGACTTTGAGGTTGGAGTGAGTTTGTAGAGGCTATTTTCTTCTTGTGCATGCAAATCTTATATCAGTGGAGAAAAAATTAATAGAGCGGCTGTAATGCCTTGCTCAGATCACATCAACACTGCAATTTAGACTTGAATAAAATTACTATTAGGATCAAACTGGCTCTATCGATCATTCTCAGCAGCCAATATTATTGTCAGCAAATCACAATTTGTTTTTCCCCATACAAATGCTAGCAGGCAATCTTCTGTGAAAATCTTGAGAAAGTCCCAACTTTCTGTGTATCTTAATCAAAATGATTCAATTAGACATTGAATAGTGGCATCTGAACTTCCTTTTGAAACATAGTTGAATCACTCCCTGCCACTTCTCCTGAAAGCATGGTGGAATTTCATGAAAGTTATCTACGTGTCATTTAAAAATAATCATAATCTAATTAAAACATAAATTCAAGATTTATTTGAAAAAATACACATCAAATAATACATTATTTAAAAAAAAAATCAGATCAAATCTAAGTTTGATCCAATAAAGTAATAGCTCATATGTGGGCCTGCAAAGCTAGACCTAAGCACGAGTTTTTATTTTTTTTTAAGTTTGATGGGGCGAGCATACATGTCCACCCCAAGTATTTTAAAAAAATGATGCGTTGCCTACATCGGCAGGCAACTCATTATTTGCACAATTTAGAATCCGGCTACTATGACAGCTGGAAAATCAGGGTCCATTATTATTTTTATCCAAAAACTCATTTGTAACTTATTTTTTACCAACAAATACCTAGAAACCACCTTATAGACCTTCTTGAATCAATCCATGACCACTAAAAAACAGCCTAAAACCCCAAATTCACCTAAAAAAATCTTAACAAACATCTAATATATCATAACCACCTTATCATATGAAACCTTTTGATGGTCGAAATTGTTTTAGTGGTTGAAATCTTTTCCAACAACTACTTTAATTTTTTCTAAGTTAAAATCCAACGACTCCCTCTATCTCCTTCCACCAGAAAAGGATTAAAAAAAATAAAAAAAAATAAAGTTAGATATCAAAATATATTTTCTTAAAATTCAAGGGATTGGTCACCTAATATCTAAAAAAGATAAGGGATTAAAATGAATGTTTTAACAAAATTTTCAAGTTGTCCCCTATATTACTTGAGATTTTCATTTCAGTCCCCTATATTTCAATTCAACCTTTCCTCCAAAAAAAAATATATAATAGAGATCTAATTTGGGTTCAGAATAGAAAAATCACAGCACGTGAACAATTTGAACAGTATGTGTCCTGATTGCTCAATTTGAACACTTGTTCAGGTTGTCGTGGATGTTGGTTGTGGCACATTAATTCTTTCAATATTTTGTGCTCAGGCTGGGGCAAAACGGGTAAGATATATTTGAGCAATTCTTTTACAAGGCAATGCATTTTCTAGTGACCTTGGAAGTGTATTAATGAATTGAATAAATAATCATCACTTATGTCCAAAAATGACTCATGTCGTTTGCCATCCATGTTGCATGGTATTGTCTCATAAGCTTTGTCTGTGATAAGATGAATCCAACAATGAACTCTCATATTCCATGGTCATTTTACGTGGTGCATTGGAAATGCCAATGGTTAAATGTTGATGCAATGTTTCTTTCTTTGTAGAAATATTCAAACTTTAGAATTGATGTTGTTATATATATATATATCAGAAGGCTCTACCTTAGAAATATTCTCTTAAAAGTCGTTTTTGTTTCTTCACAGAAGCCTGCATAACATTGCCCTTCTGTCGAACTTGCTTCGCAAGGTCTGTGACAATCATGAGATGAAGAATTTTGAGGCCTATATTTGTGCTTTTACACATTTCATGTGTCATGTATTGGGAGGAAGAATAAAGAGACTAAAATAACATATTAAATAGGTCTTGCTGCTCTGTATGGATAATGTGATGAGCAATCGCGATGGAATTGTCTTAGTTCAGTGTTTATGAGTTTATTGCCCCACCACATGCCTTATTTTATTCATTGAAAAATGCTTATATCAAAATATGGAACCTCCTTATCTGATACAAATGCTCTTGAGTGCCCCTATTGGTCTGAGATGTCTGTTTCAGGAATTTTGAGATTCCCTGGCTATTGCTTTTTTCATTGTATTTTGAGTGACATTCTGTATATCTTGCTTTGATGCATGCACGCTTGTGAAACCTACTCCGTTCGGAGATTTGACTTCTAGTGTTGGTTACAGGTTAAGCACGAGGATTTCTATACAATTGCAATTGATGAACTAGAATCTGTTACCATGAGATACAAATTCAGGTCAATGATGAGAGGTATGCTCTCTTTTATGTCTTTTAACATCCTTCGCGCCTTGAACACGAGACTTTCTGCTCTTGTTCAGTGTTAATCAACATATCATTTTGTTTTCCAGTCTCAAAATTTGGTCTGCAATTTCATAAGACAGAAAGTCTGTGTGACCTAAAAAACTTCCAGGCCTGGATGTTTTGCAGAGGAAAATGCAGAGCCCTTTAAAAATAGCATGCGCTTCTGAACGCTAAAGATTGACTTTTTTAGAGATTTAGTTGTGTTACTGTCTTATGATCATAGTCAAGGATAGTATTCATGCGGATTTTTAGGCTCTCGGTTCGAGGTGCTTAATCAGTTTATGATCCTTGGTAGGGAATCATGCGGGCAGTTAAGAATCAGTCTTGGCTGCAAAAAAATACCAAGCAGCTGGCGCTTTTAGTTCATTTGCTATGACAGCTTGTTGCTCTTTTCTCTTTTGATCAAACCTATTGGTTGCTTGGTGTTTTATAGCTTTGTTTTCCCTTTCCTTTCGGGTTTTTCCCTTTGATGTTAACAAACTTCATTGTGCTTCTTTCTCACTCTTATTTGGTGCTCTCCAGGTGCTGCTGTTCTTCTGTTTTGCTGTCTATCTCTGATATATTAACAGCTTGATTTATCAAGATCTGTTTTATACTGTTGTCATGGTGTTCATGTCCCATGGACATGGTTGTCTGGTCTTTCTAGCCCTTCTGCTTTCATTTTTTGCTTCGATTTGGTAAATGTGTTTTTCTTTTTTTTCCCCTTTCGCACCGGTTTGCTAGGGTGGGGCGATTGTTGAGTCGGGTCTATTGTGAACTGGGTTAGAATACTGCATTTTGAGCAGCTTATGTTTTCTCAAATGCACATTCATCTTCTATATATCTTACTCAAATCGGTTCTCCCTGTTTTCCAGCGGGCTCCATTCTTCGATAATTCCATTACACTTTTAAAATAGAGAAGTGACCACATAATAGATTGCTTTGCAAGGCATATTATATAGATTTTGCCACATTTTTTTATTGGCACGAATTATGAATTTCTTAAGCATATTGTTCTTGATATATATGCTTCCTATATGAAAAGTGATTACACATGATTGATATCTTAATAAATTTTTATTTTCGAAAATCTATCACTTATTGTTTTGCTGTCAACTCTGCTAGGATCATGTCCATTCTCTCCTCGGTCAGCTTCTTGGTCCTGTTTCAAGGATCCGACAGTACATCTCACTTTTTTTTTTTCGCTTATACATGTTCTTAGCTTTTCATAGTTGTTACTTTAAGTCCTCCCCCTTCCTTTACTCAATCCTTATCCATCTTTCTTTTAAATTTGCTTCTACACAGTTGGTATGCTTCCCACCTCCATTTTTACCACGGAAGTAGTTCCTTTTGTTTTTTTTTCTTCCATCGCAGCTGTTTTCTCTAATACATTGTGCATGCACTCTTTTATCCTTTTTGTTTTTTATCCAACATTTCATTTCGTTTCGCTGGCTCAGCATCCTATTCATCACTAGATTTACGACTTTGCAAGGTGTTGTTTATGTTGGTGCTCTGTTAGCGATCTCGGGCCCTATAATCAGGTTTTTTAAGAGGCCTTTATTCTTCTTTCTTATTGGGTTGGTTGTCATTAATGTGAAGCAACCATTAATGAACGGCACCGTCCATTGACAAAGACAGCAGCTGGAGCTGCACTAACCATGTGCACCCATTCAAGATCTTAAAGGTTGGCAGCCACCATTGTTGTAGAAGAGTTGGAGGTGGCAGCCACCATTGTTGACAAAAGAGCAAGAGAAGCTGTCATGGATGCATATAAATAGAGGCATACGTGAGAGAGCAAAATAAGAGAGAGATAGTAGAGCCAAAGAGGTGAGAAATGTAGGAAAGAGTGTGCTGCCAAGGGCAGCAAGCAGTAGCTGTCATTGCAGCATTGCAAAGAGAGAAAAGGAGTGAGGTTGAGAGTTGCAAGAGTAGATGATTCCTCCTCCTCTATTGTTGTAAATCTTGTTCTCTCCCTATATAATGAAATGGTTTCTCCCGTGGATGTAGGCGGTTTGCCGAACCACGTTAAATATTGTGTCAGTGTGCTTAGCCTCCAATGGGAAAATATCAGTACATCACTGGTCGGAATTCCCTACAATTGGTATCAGAGCATTTGGTTTAAAATGGTGTTTGATTTTTGCTCAAAAATAAAAGTTCTCAAAATGGTGTTTTGACCATACCATTGTGTAGAGGAGGCTGAAACGAAGCCACTAGTGAAAACGGCGTCGAAAATGGACGTCGGACATATCCGCACGCTCCCCCACATGGCGAATGAGGTGGCAATCCACCCGCGCAGACGCGCCCCACGTGTCTTTTTCGCCCGGATGGGCTAAGCCGACCCGAATATAATATATCCGATCCATATGATTGAACTGAATATTGATGATGTCAGCATGACATAATTGTGACATCAGCCTGCATGATATGCATGCCAAATGATGATATCAGCATGCACAGTATGCATGTCAAATGATGATGTCATCATGCACAGTAGGCATGCCATGTAAGCGTTCAGTCAGCTGCCACGTCATCACAGGGGACCCACCTGCCACATCTCCGGCCGCAAGCCGAGAGTGAACCGAGTTGAAACCGAGTCGAGGGACAAGATTTTGTGTAGCCGAGTCTACGTGCAACCGGTTCTGAGATTAAATCTTAGCCGTCTGAAGTGCGATTTGGATGATTTCAGACTTGTTTTCAACTAATTTGATCGTTCCAGATACAATGGTACGGTCCGAGCATTGAGATTGAGACCAGAAATAGCGGTGGTGAATTATTAAAGAGAGATTGCCCGATCAGGAGGCATCTGAAGGTCATCATGTGCCCGATCAGGAGGCATATGATGGTCATCATGGTGGGCGATGGAGATGAAGAAGAAGAAAACACACATGTTTATCCAATTACATGTGTTGAACTGTTATGTGGGGAATTTTAATTGCTTTGAGGGAAGAAAAAATTAGGACACTCTAAACATCCGATCATGTGGACGATTTGAGGTGGAGAGTGGAAATTACTGAAGAACAATCTTGATGAATCTAAGCAATGGTAGTCTCGCTACATGTTGAGAAATCAGGTATGAAACTAAAATATTCTAGATCACTTGTAAAGAAAAGCCACAACAAAGTTAACAAATGGTTGTATATACAGAAAGACAATAGGATGGATAGATATGGCCTAAGAAGTTCTGTCTAGGTGATTGGGTTTTAAGCGGGACCGGTGTGACCCCTCCAATCTTTTCTGAGAACTTGCTTAGTGAAAAGATTATCCATATGATACTATTTTCGTATATATAGCAGTTTGTAATGAAACGGTTGGAGACTAACAATATGACGGCACAAGGGAACAATTGGGTTTCGTATGTTCAAGGATCTGATGGGTGGTGATTTCTCCAAGAAGGTTAGATTCGGTGACTATAATTTCTCGAAGGGAGAATTGATGAAGACCCTGATAATGGAAGAGAAATATAGCAAAGGAATAAAGATTGACACCCTATTTTGACTGGGACAGGTGTTGTGACAAGATGAGCTACTGTCAAACATAAAAGCAAAGAATAGGGAGAAATCTGGAGAACAAAAATTGCACGAGGGCACATGAAAATTGTGCAAGAGTACCTGGAGGATCCAACGAGGTACTGTAATGAGACAACAGGTGTAAGGAGAAGAAGAGTTTCCAGATGAAGTTCAGAGCAGAGATTGTGTGAAAAAGTTGTTCAACAGGAAGTCTTTTGTGCTTTTGGTAAAGGCAATAAGTGAGGACCTTTCCAATGCATGCAAGGATGAAAAGATGAGTTATTGCAGATGCATCTAATTGAGGGGGTGCAAACGCCTGTGATAAAAGGTGACTGCCTATAATGAAAGGCGAAAACACCAAAAAGAGGTAGTGTGGGTGGAGCTATCAAGCAGAAAGGCATAGAAGCTCCAAACATAGAATATGAGATGGAAGATTGCGAAGAGTGCACCGCAACTCTTTCTTTCTATGTGATCAGTGATAGTGATCTCTCCCAAAGTCCACATGGTAATAGAGAATCTTAGAGTCACTAGAGACATCCCCGATGAAGGAGAATGTGACCGCTTTATGACGGACAAAGACACCTCAGACAGAAGGTGTGTGGACCATGAAAAGAGCCTAAGTACAAACCGTCACATAACGATGAGTGATTAGATGCTTTCTATATGAAAAGTGATTACACATTATTGATGTCTTAATAAATTGATTTATTTCGTTTGTTTGGACAGGAAATAGAAAGTGGCATATGGTTCCTTCCGGAGATTCTTGTCTTTGTAGTTTCTGACAAGGCTGAGATGTATGCGTTGTGGCATTAAACATGAGAAGAAAGTGACCATTTGTACACGAAGGGGTCGCATCACATGCTGATGCTGAAGATTTTGGTCTACGTTGATGTGTTTACTAATTTCTAGCAAATCTTGACTTGGAGTCAGTCGGAGTCATGTATGTACAGTTATATGATTGTTGACTTTTCTTTAGTATAGTGTTGTTTTCTTTTCTTTTGTGCTACTCTTCTTTCCTCTTCCCTTACCTTTGTTTTCTAATTTATTGTTTTGCTGTCAACTCTGCTAGGATCACGCCCATTCTCTCCTCAGTGAGCTTCTTGGTCTTCTTTCAAGGATCTGACAGTACATCTCACTTTTATACATGCTCTTAGCTTCTCATAGTTGTTACTTTAAGTACCCCTCCCCCACCTTTACTCAATCCTTATCCATCTTTCTTTTAAGTTTGCTTCTACATATTTGTTATGCACCCAGCCTCCATTTTTACCCCAGAAGCAGTTCCTTTTGTGTTTTTTTTGCTGCCGCAGTTGTTTTCTCTTATACATTGTGCATGCACTCTTTTACCCTTTTTGTTTTTTATCCAACATTTCGTTTCGTTTTGCTGGCTCAGCGTCCTATTCATCATTAGATTTATGACTTTGCAAGGTGCTGTTTATGTTGGTGCTCTGTTAGCGATCTCGGGCCCTATAATCAGGTTTTTTAAGAGGCCTTTATTCTTCTCTTTTTCATTTTTTTTTGTTATTTTCCTTGAGTTTTCCAGCCTGTTGTGCAGCACATATGCTTTTGTTGTGATCTTTGTTTATGTAAATTTGATAAGGCATATGACAAAAATCCTGGTTAAATGATTCTTTCTTTTGAGGTGAAAGATATTAGAAAACCGAAGTTGAAAAATTCAGTCGTGCATGAAGCGAATGAGCCTCTATTAGAAAATCTTGAGAGAGCATATATACAATGAGACATTGATGAAGAAGAAGCAATAACCTAAAAGTTAAAAATCATGGGATCTTTTTTGAAGGGAACATTGAGCAGAAGAAGAAACTTACTTTGCAGTTGCAAACAGCTCTAGCTTGGAAAATACTGTTGTCCTATGGTTTGATTTGGTTGTTAAATACATGCTGGGAGATTGAAATGCAATTTTGGAGCGATTGCGTTTCCCTTTATAAGCCAAAACTAACATGCTAAGATCCTCCAGGCTCCTTTCTACATGTTTTCTTGCGGGGCATCCTCTCCTGCTGCTGCATTTATTCCCTTCGAAACCAAAGAATTTATATCAATGGGATGCCAAGGCTTAAACACTTGAACAAGTTCTCCCATTCTTTGAAGCTCAAACTCTCACCTTCTAACTCCAGTTTTCACAGACCCCTGTTAAGGTATGTTTTCACAGGTGTCTTTTACGAAAATGGCAATGCTTTTGACTGCCTTTTCTTAACTAGGCATTAGGCACTAGCTCTCTAACTTGTCAATGTTTGAATAGACTTTGTGAAGCGAACCATTTTTCTTATCATGGCCTTTATGACTTATTTCAGCTGTTTAAGTTCTTGGAAGAGGAAAAAATAAGACAGATTGACGGAAGAATTACAAGGCAGAAGGTAGAATAAATCTTCAGAAATTTGCAGTACATCAGCATAACCATCTATCCATCACGAACAATGGTAACTCTACATTTAGAAAATTCAGCTTTGAAAAACATTTATGCAGTACATCAGCATAAACTCATACAAATAGAATTCTTAAATGTTTTTTTTTTTTAAAATCCAATATGAAGTAATAGAAGCTGCTCTGCATGCAGATAAAAATTCACATCCATCATCCATGCCCATATTAAGCTCTTCTATGTTCGTGAATTCACATTTTTATCCACCATCCAGCCCGACAAACACTATTCTGCAAAAACTTTGAATAACCATTCCATGACTTCCTTCAGTCGTCGCCGTTCCACTGCACATACAATAGTTAAAACAGCCAGCTTCTTGTTAGTGGAGGAAAGAAAAACAACGCTAAACTGCAAACTGCAGGATGATATATATCGATTAAATTAAAATTGGTTACTACATGTACACAAGAAATGATTAGGCAATTTTTTAAGAAGTGAAAGCATAATAACAAAATTAAATTATTGATTTAATGGTTATAATTTTTTAAATTTTAACAAATCATCATTAAATTCATATGTATATGATGAATGACTCTATTTTAAGTTTTATCAATTGGTTATTGATTTTATATTTTGATACATAATATTCCACGGAATCAAATTTAGAGTATAGTAGAACGTTTAAAATTGAGGTTAAGATAGAAAAAACAAACAAATCATTTATTTTATAAAATGTTTTAAATTGAATGTTATAATTATTGCTTTCATTAATTTGAAAACTATAATTGGCCAAGTTAGTGTCAAAAGCTTGTTTGCCTTTTTGCTTTTTTAAATCTAGAGAGTGTTTTTAGCTTTAAGTGGTTGGTTAGTAATCTCAGTAGTATTAATCTTATTGGTTGTTATTAAATGAAATGAAGTTAAAATTGGGTACTCCATGAAATGATTAGGCAATTTTTCATTAAAAAAAGAAGTAAAAGTCTAATTTAAATTATTGATTTCATGGTTATAATTTTTAAATATACATTTTGTTAACATAATGAAAGATAATAAGATATTACTCTAAAGAATGTTGGGATACGAGAAATAAACCATTTTTAAAATAATGAAGTCTAATTATTGCTTTTCATTATTTTGAATTCTTTAATTAGTTCTCTCTCCTCTGCATACTACAAAGTAACGGAATAATTTAAACCCCAACTTACCTGTACATATCTACCCTCTATATAGATTCTTAGGATATGAGAAATCTTGGGCCATTCAGAGCCATTCTCCTCTCTACAATTTTCTGATAGATGTCGACATTCCCAAATATTCAATTGCTTTAATTTGGAGAGGCGTTGAATGGCTGTTGAACTTGGCAGATACTTGAGATTGTAGCAAAAATAAATATGAAGAGATTGAAGAGAGGAGAGGTTGGCCAACCATTCTGGCAATGCTTCCTCAAATCCCTCCCCGTTGAAACTACGTATAAATGATGATCTTAAGCAATGTTATTGTAATATTAAGGAAGTCGTGGAAAAGGTCAATCATTCTGCAAAAACCAGAGTGCATTCTGTAAGGAATTGTGTTTGCAGTGTCTTCGAGGTTTTCCAAATCCCCATTCTGATTGTATATTTCTGCCATCTGAATGAGAGTATCTCCTCTGAGAAACCACCGATGCTCAATTCCTCCAGTTGGGTGAGGCCGCCTAAGCAATCATCCTCTGGGAAATCACTCAAACTCCGACACCCAGTGATTGCTAAATGACCAAGAGAAGGCAATTTTCGTAAACCATGCCAATCAATACTGATGAGCTTATCACATGATTGAATGGTTAATCTTCGAAGAGAAGACAATTCTTGCAAATCACTGATATGGATAAGCTCACTCCAATCCCATATCCACAATTCCTCTAAAGATGCGCAACATTGTAGTCCGCTTGGAAGAGCTCCCAATTTACATCCCTCAATAAACAATTCCTTCAAAGAATATTTCAATTCTTGAAAATCACCAGGAATTGACATCAACTCAGGGCAGTCATATATACCCAATTTCACCAGAGCTGTGCAGTGCTGTACGCTTGGAATGGATGCCAGCTTTGAACAACCCCGTATCTCTAAATTTTGAAGAGACGTGAAGCCATGAAATTCACCAGACAAATATCTCAGTTCATCACATAATCCAACGTCAAATTGTACAAGAGATGGAAGACCACATATCTCAATGCTTTCCAACTTTCCACATCTCCAAATTCTCAACTGTTCAAGACAAGGAAATACTTGAAAACTTTCCCCACCTGGTACCATCCATTCTTCAAGACCATCCATATGGGATAGAGTGAGTTCTTTTAGTGCTGGGAACAATACTGCAGCACCGCCACCGCTGCTAGGGAACTCATTGCCTATGCATTTCACATTAGGCATTCCACGAATCTCTAGAATCTTAAGACGAGGAAGACATCCAAGTGTTGGGAGTTGTCTGCACTTGCTGCAACCATTCAAACTAAGGATCGTCAGATTATTGAGTGGCAAATTAGACATCCATGATGGGAAATCTTCACCTCCATAACCCTCAATTGTCATGTTTCTTATGTCTGGGTGAGGCTGCAGGCCTTCCAGCACACCCTCGTTGTTAACACTGCTGTTACCTTCATCACTCCATTCAAACACCAATTTGTTCATTCTTTTTCCACGCAGTTTTGCCTTCTCAGCTTCTTCTCTGTCTCTAACTTGCTCAAGCTTGCATATCTTCAATGCTCCTCTTAGTTCATTCAAACATCCCAGCTCTTCAACCATATGATTTGGACCCACAACAAATAAAGGCAGAGTTTGAAGGCGTGTTAAGAGTCTCACCTCAGCTGGCACAAGCTTTGGATCATCAAAATGAAGATGTCTCAAGCTGACTAAATTTCTCATTTTCTTGGGAAGCTTTTCTAGTGACTTGCAATGAGTGAATCTTAATGTTTGCAAAAGGTAAAGCTTGATGATGGATTTTGGCAAAACTCTGATAGGAGTATCTGAGACATCAAGATATCTCAAATATCTCAGCTTGCAAATTGAATCTGGTAACTCTGTGATATCAGACCGTCGAGCTCTTCCCTTTCAATTTCAAAATCTTTAGGGAAAATGGAACAGTATGCAAAACATTTTTTCAGTGTTGGCGATGACAGGTAATCAAAACTGAGTCTCAATACGCGCAAAGCTTTATCTCCATCCGGAGAATCCCAAATTCTACTGTTTAGAATTGACTTCCATTCCTGCGTCTCCTTTTGGCGCAGTGTTCCTCCCAAAACTTTAGCAAGTAATGGAATCCCTCCACATTTCTTTGCAATCTCTTTTCCAATAGACTCCAAGTCTGAAGTTATTGTTTCTCGTCCACCGCTGCCCACCTTTTGCTTGATAATGGACCAACATTGATCAGCTGATAGTCTCCTTGGCTCGTGCTGAATCCCAGGAGAAGTCTCCATCATGCCTGCTACTTTCTTACTACGGGTTGTAACAACAACAGCATTCCCATTCTTGCTGTTAATTTTTAACAGTTGCTCCTTCAAATCATCCCACTTACCATGGTCTTCATTCCACACGTCATCAAGAACAAGAAAAAATGTCTTATTTTCCAGCTCTTTCTTAAGGTTTTGAAGAATTGCATCAAGACTGTTCAACCCACCCGTAGTTTTCTCAATCATTTGCAACATTGCTCCTAAAATCTTCACTTGATTAAAATCATTAGAAACACAAACCCAAATTGTTAAATCAAAGTGTTTTCTCTCCCTCACTACCGCACAAACTTTTTTGCTACAGTAGTCTTCCCAAGGCCAGCCATCCCCACTATAGGGACAACCGATAGGACATGTTGGTGTTTGGTCAAGCTAGTCAGCATATCCATAACTATAGACACGTCATCCTCCCTTCCTACAATTTCTGAGCTGTCAAGGAAGGAATCTGTCTGTCGATCTTGATCCCAGCTAACTTCTTGAGCTCCATCTACGTGTAGAGATGTCAATTGAAATACAGCTGCATCTTTTCGAATTTCATCCAGTGCTCCATTGATCTCCTTAACTTTTTTACCCATATTCAGACGGAATGCGACAGGGTTGTGGAGTGAAAAGCAGTCACGTACCTTTCCCTTCTTTTGGTCTTTTCGGAGAATCTCATAAGCAAACTCGTCTAGAACATCTTCAGCATCGTAAGCTACATCTTGTAGTTTCTCCAGCCAACCCTTCACAGAATCGTCTGTGACTGACCTTCTTGCTGCATCTTGGAGCACATCTCTGATCATGATCAGGGACTGCTTGAGCTTTCGCAGGTGTCCCTCCAATCCCCATGCAAGTCTGATCCCTTCAGCAGCTATGGAACTGACCCTTGTCAAAGTCTCCTCCATGGTAAACGTAAGAAGAAGCTCCCCTGCCATATTCTCTTGTTTCTCTGGGAAATCAAAGAAGAAAGATCGAGCTAAAGAGAGATAAAAATGGGCTGAAAGTTTTGAAATAGAGACGAAATGAAGCGCGTGTTGCGACGGGGAGATACATTCAACTTCAAAGCAGAGGGTCCCTCCCTCACTGTATTAATTGATAGATGGCAGCTGGCAGCATCTCCCACGATCCACTACGGTCAAACTTGGCACCGTGAAGCCAAGACAAGGACGTTAAAAGAATAATTATAAGTCTTCTTCCAGTCTTTCTTGCGTTCTTTCTTTTTCTTTTTCTTTTTTTATGCAGCGAGTTGTTAAGGACATGATTTTAATAAAAAAAACAAACATATTTAATCTTACCGTCTTCTGCCAAGTCTTTCTTTATATAAACATATATTTGAGTTAAAAAGTATTCTAATGGCCGGCCAGTTGCTTTATAGGATTCGACTTTTTCAATCAATGTGATGAGATTTGTCATATGTCTTAGTATTAGTGGAGTATGAAGTCATACATTCACTACTTGTTCAAGGCGGCCCTCAATTATATTTCTCAAACGGGACAAAAACAAAATGGCAGACAACAGAGCTTGCGATCTGCGCATCGGATGTGATCACCCCCATCGTCACCCTAAACATTAATTGTCAATAATCGGATAAATTATTATTGATCCATGTTTATTCGAACTAATTTGATATCATATTTGTATTTGATTTCATATAAAGAAAAACACTCAAGGTGGCTGCGTTTTCCAGAATCACATGATCTAACCCCTGTTTTTAGCTAGGTTCTCTTTGCCAATGGACTTTTCTTCGAGTGTTGTGCGAATACATAGGTAGCACTGCACCCTGATGTGCCTGACCATATTAATTATTTCTTTTTGCTGTCTTAGAACAGAGTGTTGTGTTTCATTCTCCTTTCCTATGCACTATCCATTCCCATGTGCTTATATAAGTCTATTCCCTCAATAGTTTACATAAGTGTTTGCCATGTGAGATACTGCGAGATGCCCCCGTTGCTTTCTGCAAATCCTTTTTTTTTTTTTTTTGTCTGGCTAAACGATGAATATTCATGAACATCATTAGAAAACTAAAATAATTACTGAATTTGACATTAATCACAGTTAATTTTGTGTGTGTGTGTGTGTGTGTGTGTGTGTGAGTTAACGTATTGTGATGAAAGTAAGCGGTTGGGCCGGTCAGTTGCTTTCTAGGAATTTTATTTCTACGATGAAGAAAATAATAGAGATTTAGGGTAGGATCCCAATTCACCAAATATCTTATATTACCCAGTATAATATTATATTATATAATAATATTTATGAATTATTTTATAATGGATTTTATTGTTAAAAAATTATCTTATATAATATAAATATATAAAGTATATGATGTAAATAAAAAATTTATTTCCGTCAACTTTAATATAATAATATTAAAATTATAATTTTTCTAATTACTTTCATTTTAAAGAGTTAATTGCAATTATCTCACTTCATCAAAAATCTGGAATCAAGCTACTGAAAATTAACAACCGGAAATACTTACCTGTACATTTCTTATCTTGTTTTGGTTTCACATGAGGAATATCTTTACAGTTGTTTTTTTATATTAAAAATTCTATTTATTTACTGAGAAGTATTTTTTAAAAATAAATTTTAAAAAAATAAGTTATTTTTTGATATTTAGTAGTTTAATAAAAAACAAGTTGGAAAATAATTTTCAATATTTGGTTATGTCATGAAAAATAACTTAATAATGTTTTATTTTTTTCAAGTTTATTAAAATAATGAGAAACAAATCTTACAAATTAAAAAGTTAAATAA